TCACGCTATAATTCCACTTCAAATTTATTGGTGCATCTCTAGAAAAAGCATCGTATCAAGTCTAGAGCTGACTCCATCTTCTTACCCGCGGTCGAAGGAAATCTCAACCAGTTCTTGGAGTCGCTGAGAAAGAAGGTTGGCGTTGAAGAAATACTAGTCCGATAAGTCATTTAAACAAGACAGCCTTTTACAGTAGTAGAGCATCCAGCTTTCAAGGCACTTATTAAAACAACGGGGGCTTCTTTACCCATCAAGACTGCTAATACTCTTTTTAACCGAATCAAAGAAGAATTCCATTCAAGTAGGGCTTCAGTAAAAGAGGAGCTTACCAGGAGTAGCCGCACACTCGCTTTATCTCTTAACGTTTAGACATCGGAAAATCAGATTGCGATAATAGGTATCTTTAGCTATTGGATCACCCCCGATTTTAAAAAGCGAGATGAGCTTCTCAAGTTCACCAAGATCAATAGGCCACATTCTGGAGAGAATCTAGCAGAAATTGTATTAAAGATACTCGCCGAATTAGACATCACACCAAAGCTCCTAACTATCATAGAAGACAATGCAGGTAATAATGGGACGCTCTGTGATAGCCTGTATAACCAGCTCCTCAAGAAGTATAATAATAACGATAACCACTTTCGCATTAGGCCTCTAATACAATTCCGCAGACAACCAAGCTTCATTCCTTACCTTGCCCATATCCTCAATCTAATTTACAAAGATATGTTAGCTTCTTTAAGAGCTAGTTCGGCTCAAGAAGCAAAGGCGATCCTAGACGACATAGCCATTCATACTAACCCAGCATTCAACTCCATTCACAGCACAAAAGAAGCAATCATAAAAATACAACTTCTGACGCTATAGATCGCCCGTAACCCACAGCGCCACCGGGATTAGAAAGAAGTATCACCTAAAAAACAAGTCAGTTATGATGTTGACACCCAATAGAACTCAACATATATCATGATTCAAGATACCCTTCAGCTACAAACTGAGCTAGGACAGTTTGTGCGGATACATCCAGAAATTCAGGCCCTCCAGCTTACCGATAACAAGTAGTCGACACTTCAGCAAGTAGCCAAGATCCTCAAGCCATTCTAGGACCACACAAACTCTATTTCAAAGACATACCCAACAATTGTAGAAAGTCTACCAATTTACTGAAGTTTAGACGATTTGTTAAATAACATTCGAAATGCGGAGAGAGATTTTGAAGACGTGAACATTGAAATTCGCAATACAGTGGAAAGAGGCATTCATAAGATAAACAAGTTTACTAGGAAAATAGACGACAACCTTCTTTACTATATAGCTTCCGTGTTAGATCCGCGCATCAAATCGTCTCTAATTATGTCTCAAATAAGCGAGCAAGATTCAGGGCTTATCGTCTCGCAAATACGGGAATTTCTTAAAAAGAATACCCTCCAGAGCCATTTACGTCATATGAAGTTGACCATCCACGTCCAGCAAGGATATCGGAAACAATGTAGAGAACTCTGCGCAAAGTCCAGCCATCCAAAGAGACATCTTTGTCGGATATTGACAAGTATTTAGATTCCCCGCCGGTCAACTGGTCCCACCACATGATCGGCGATACAGACGCAGAATAGGTCCTAAAATAGTAGAAGGCAAACGCCTTTAATTTTCCACTCATAGCAAAAGCCGCTCACGATTACCTACCCATCCCTTCAGCAGAAATCGGGATTGAGCGCGAGTTCAGCAATGCTCGAGATGTCTTGGGCCTCCGAAGGCACCGTCTGAACGCGGAGACTATGCGATGGCTAATACTATTGAGAGGAAAGTCTCAGACATAAATCTCCACCGGTGCATGCATGTAATTTTCAGTACTTCGATATTAAAGACAGGCACATAATTCGCTATGGAATAAAGTGTCTGAGCATGATTGATGTATTCGAATGTAATGAAACGAATGGTAATGTATGGTATTTTATTATATGAATAAATATGAATTAATCATATATTCATGAATATTGCGAATATGAATAAAGGGCTTATTCATATTCATATGATTCAATTCATATTATTCATATTCGCAAATATTCATGAATATTCATGAATAATCATATTCCTTTCGGATCCCTAAAAATACATAGCACGGATTCTGATATGCGATTCAATTGTTGCAGAAAAACCTCAAGCCACAGATCAAACCTCGTCTAGTATTCAAAGTCACCCCACGGCCTTTGTTTTAAATCCAGCTCAACCGGTTATCCTAAATGGTCTTGACAGGCCAAAGACACAAAGCTCCCAAAGTGTCAAAGCCATCGAACTGAAGACTGTCGAACAGAAGAGACCCTCCACTGCTGCTTCCACTCCTGCTCTGCACTGGTTTCCTCAGCTCGGGATTTATCAAGAGCCACTCTCAATAAAACAATAGCTCGAATCAGGCGCGGGTCACCAGAAGGGCTTTTTGCGGGGTTGAAATGATACTGCAGAGCAAGACTTTGGGTTGCGTCCATTGTGGTGCTGACGAGTTGGTGGAAGCTCTCAAAACACTTGGAATAAAAATTGTTCTCAAGCCCCTGCTGACTATATTGTTGCATTCGTTCGGCCTTTAACTCCAAAATCGACATTTGGGGTTGTGTTTTGGATTTTCTCAGTCGCGGCCGTGTGGTTTCCAAGGCCATAGTAGACCCACGAGCCATAGAGATTTGGTGGTCCAGTAGATTCATCTCAGGAAGAGATGGCTTGATTTGTAGGGTAGTTGATATGGTAGTCATAGGGATAGCATCTTTGGCCGTGTCGGTGGATCGACTGTAGATGCTTGAGGTGGTGTCGCCAGAGCGACCGCGAATTTGTTTTTGAAAAGGGTTCATCGGATATTGATCGCAGACTGACGTCTCAGGTCACTGAAACCGAGGTTGGGCTCGAGATTCGCAGGCTTTTTAAGAACGAAAGGTCTGTTTTATGGGCGAACGCAGTCGATTGGTGCTCTTGGGTACTTTCTCAACGGCTTTCCTCGCATTCTCACCACCGTTGGCGGACCTCGAATTCTTAGTCGTAGACCAGCACCGGCAGAGCACCACGCCAGCCTGTTGATAATCCCAACGATGTTTCTAGGCGCCAATTGCACCGCCATTCTAATAGGTGGTATATTGGAGACGGCGCATGGTTCTTTGCCACCGAGTGAACTTCATGACGATTTCTTTTGCAACGCCCTACTCGCAATATCTAGATTTTTTACAAACAAGGGCGGCCATCACGTGTGTGCATAGCGCAGAAGTACCGACACGGCATGTTGGAGTTTAGACTCAGACGGCCTAAGCATAATATTGATTTGTTTTGATTGTTCCCAACTGGTTTTATTGCCAGGGTAAACCAGAAAGACAGAAAGGGGCGGGGAAAGCGGCAGACGAGACTGGGCACGGGCCCCGTCTTATTGGATGCCAGAGTTTCCTGGATTTCCCGTCTAGCCTAAATTGAATATTGCTTCTAATGTTAACTTTTATCTTCCTAGAACACCGAATGACAAATCTACACAGCTCAGAGCCGCCGTCTTTTCTGCCCAACAGTAGGCTCCAAGAAGTGGACTAGTCGCTTTGACCCACGATAGCAGTAACAAGATCTCCGTGGCGGCCAATCTAGGATTTGATGATCTGCACGTCCAAACTGAGCGTAAGCCTTCTGCTCATCGAGAAATTCTAGCGTCGATTTGGGGAAGCCGCCAATCTTTTCACGAAAGGTATCATTGGCAATCTCAATTGAGACTCTTTCCTCAAGGCTGGTGACCCGAAAAGCAACGCCCTTTCTGAAATATCCACAAAGTTGGCAAACGTCGACTGGATCTATGCTTCCCAAATCGTGGTCCTGACCAGACCGAAACCTGGCGCCGGGGAACTCGACAAGAACTCGCTGCAGGATGTCGGTAGGGTTCGGTCGTGAACAAAGAACAGATCCCCGACAATAAAAGGAAGCATTGCCCTGGACGGGAGATTCATCTAACTCAAAGAAAAACATGGCCGACGCAAGAATGCTCCTCACAAGCTCAGCTGGCACTGCAAAGTCCATATTCGACATTATTTCCAGCGAGCACGTATCGTCTAATGCTGGCAGTGTACCATCGATGGCCTGGTCCAGCCGGAAAATATCGGGTGTCGACGAATGGGGAAGATAATTGAGAGCTTCCAAAAACCCTTGCCTTCCATCCATAGAGGGAGAAGACATCATGGCCCGAAACAGTCGGGGAAGAGCACCCTCCCGAATGCGATCAAGAAAACCAGTTGAATCGCTGGGGCTAGACGTGGAGAATCCTGTTCCGACAGATAGGAGAAGGTCGTGCCTTTTCGCCATGGGCCAGATAATGCCCGACTCTCGCAAAGCAATGGCTAGCGGATTGTTCGCCCGAACCCCACCATCTTGCAAGAGACCAAGGCCTGGCAAAGTTTTGGTCTGGAAGTAACTAGAGAGTGTCAGCGCGATACTATGTCTCATGGTGTCTGAACTCACAAGGGTGCTGCAACACTGCATATAGCTCTGTCAAAAGCTAATCGTTAGCAAAATCGGCTACTACTATTCACATTGGGTGCACTCGGACAGTCGACTTACGCTTCCCATAGAAAAGGATCCTCCCGGTCATCATGTGGCGCCAAAAATTGATAGGCGGTATTTGCGGAACGTGGGCTTTTTCTTCGGTAGTTGGCCAATACGCAGGCTTTGCCATCGGAGGTACGACTTGCCACAATAGCGATCCGGCAACCCGCAGGGCTAGCCGTGGCAACATCGAACATGCGGCGAGATGGGCCAACGGCTGCTTTGAAAATTTGTGACAGCCCATCGGAATCATAAAGACCATCTGTGATCAGGTTGAACGCCGAGGCAAGCCACCGAATAGAGCGAGGGACTGGGCTATTTGAGGAAGGACGAAAGATATTTCGCGCAAGGTCGGGGAATGCATTGAAACATTGCGTGACTGAAGATTGATTGAGAATGATGTTAATAGTGGATAATGCGCCTGAATCGCCAGTTTTGTTAGTCTATCAACCATAATCACTCGGCCAGTGGTCGTACGTACCTACACTAGTTCCAGTGCACAGATCTGGTAGAGATGCGATCGGAACACCAATGCGCCTTTCTAAAGCTTGTAGAAGGCCTAGTTGAATCAGACCGCGCACTCCACCGCCATCTAAACTGAGAATCACCGGATGCTTAGTTGGAGGTAGTTGGCGGACAGTGACGTTGGACCTCTCGTCGCAGATAGGGCATTGAGCGACCTCGAAGTGATACTCCCCAAGCGAACTTGGATTTCCGAAGATCACGACGCAGGTGTCACATATTGCATGTTTGCAGGGGAGCATATGCTCCGGGGGTCGACACAGACAGACCAAGCAAGTAGTGGTGGAACGAAGACCACCCCACCGGCGATACAAGCGATGCAACGTCTCCTTTCGAATGGCTGCTGAAGTTCTCACAGAGCTCAACTGCCCGAAACTTTGTACGAAGCGGAATGAAACGCCAGCAATATGGCCCTGGAACTTTGCGTCCCAGATACTGAGACATAATTTCTCATAAAATGCGGCGAAAACCAAGATGGGCGAGAAACCTGGGCAATTCAGCTTTGAAGTCGAGATATGAATGTGCGAGTAAAAAGAAATCGAACTTACCATGCATTCCAGGGGGTAGGCATCCATCAAGAAAGCCGTAGCTACAAGGTCATCAAAGTCCTCCTCTGAGCAGCCAACGGATGGTTTATGCTGGCTGACCTCTCGAAGACAATCGCCCATCGTATCATTTCTAGTATAGCCCCTTCGGGCCCTTTCCAATAAATCAAATGGCGGTGCATCGAGCAGCCTTTGGTGACTTTGTACATGAGTGTTCCAGAAAGCACAGAGGTGAACTGCTGAGAACCGCCGACAAGCTGATAGTTGCTCGGCCTGGACTATACCGAGTTGCTTGAGGATCAAGCATTGCAGTGGCGCAAAAACGACGTTGTCCGAAAGCCCGCTACGTGGACTGACATCGAGAATCGTGACTGTCCCGGTCTTGATCATCTTTTGAAGCTGTGCGTATTCTTGTGTGAAGGCTTTTGTTGTATGCTTGCCGTTGGTCAAGACAATGACTATCTGCGTGGGAGCCGGAATACCCTCGTCGCCAATAGTCAGCTGTCGACGTGGTTGTTGGAGTAAGTTTCTTGCGGCCTGAATGTCAGCGGCGGAATCGAGGAACAAACACAGGATCTGGGTCCATGGTAAAACAATTTGCCTCTTCACTTCTTGTTGTAGCCTTGCAGGGGGCAACAGCCCTTCTGCGCCCGTTATAGAGAAGCTTCGATGCTTTGTCGTTGAGTGCTTGAGCCATTTCGAGTCGCCCAAGCTGTACTCCAGGCATAAACTGCTTTCAGCAAACAGAATAGGGCTCTGTGTATGAGCGGTCTTAGTGCTGAGATGAAGACGAATCAAGCCTGCGGGGCCTTTGCGTGTGATGTTGTTGTATGGGAACAGAGCCCGCAAAGCTTTCATGCGGTTTGAATTACCGGTAAAATACAGCAGAGATGGATATTGAAATTTTGGATAGGGTAATTCCTGCACAAGTTCTCCCAAGCGGTTGGTATCCACCAAGTGCCATACTTCATTCTCGCTGACGAGATCAAGCCAAGCAGCCATTAGATGGAGTGGGAGATCTAAAAAGAAAGAGGTCTGCTGGAGGCTTTATATTCGGGGACTGGTCTGAAATTGACAAGAGGCGCTTCAAAGTGTCGCTGGGCCCTCAACTTGGAACTGGCGTGGTATTTTCTCGTCTCAGAATTTGATCTCAAGGGAAAACATTTGGGCGCCAGGTTTCTTCTTCTTGTGTATCTGCAAGTTGCGGTCGTTTGAATCAAGTTTGCAACAAATGTCACTTTCTGTCAGACTCACCGCGAGACAAAGCTGCGGCTTCCTCTATATTAGAATGGTAGCAATCTTGCACTACTGACTATATAATGCATTCTAAAGCCCTTTCTTGCTTTGTGGCCTTTTCATAATAGTCCCTAACATTCCTCGGCTATTACCTCTGTGGGCAACCATCTAAGTATGACAGGTAAAATGGGATCAGAAAGGATTGCCCTTCCTGCAATGAAGTCTGCGCTTGTTCCGTTCCGCCCAGCTGAAAATGTGACGCCTGCGCTGTCTAGAGCCAGCCAGATCGACGACCCGATTGAGACCACTTATGTCAGAATGCTCAGGGAAGAGGCAGAAATGGACATCAGCTTCAATATCACGGTCGGTATGGCTAATTGGGCACTGCTGGCCGGTTATCTCGTCATCCCCGGCACGTTCACTTCACTGCAAACTTCAAACCAGGTCGAAAAGGCTTTGCAAGTCAACAAAGCCGGTCGTACCGTGCTGCATACCATCCAGAACCCTCCATTACTCGGGATTGCGTGCCTTCTTCTTGTGAGTGGCATTGGAGCTCTCATGTGGCTGATGCACTTCCCAAAGCTCAGGGGAAACTACCTATGGCTGGTCAATAAACTCTTTGTGTAAGTGAGCAACGCCGTGAGGCAGATTTGGAGAGCGCGGGCTCAAGACTAAAACCGAACTAGGCCTCTATGCTTGAATGCTGCCGCCGGGCTGCTGACCACTGTCATCAACGTGTGCACGTCTCAAGGTGGAGATTGGTCGGTAATGGCAATTGTCACAACTGCTGTAACTGGAGCGACACTTTCTAACTGTTCAGCACTTCTGGCGATCTACAAATTCTACAAGTTGGAGGAGATTATAAAAGAAGATGAGTATATCAGGCGTTTTCGAGCTGCGATCTCAAAGTGATGTGAAAGTTTCAGACGGTGAAAGGGCTTGGTCACATGTACCACTGATCATTTAACAGTGGTGTTGGATTTGTGCTGGCTTTCATGCCGAGATGTCAATCCGTGCTTTTTGTTTAGTTGTAGAGTTCGATATTATTGTTCTGGTCCCTATACAGTTTTGATCACGCACCTCTATCATGTAAATTGTACTAACCAGAGCCAAAATGCTAGCAAGATTAGTTATTAAGTGTCAAAGGATGCTCCATAAATATAGTAATTTTGAATACCCAATGGACCGAGGATCGACGGAAGGCCACTCTCAACGCCATCCTTGCACAGGAAATTCTAGAAAAGAAACAAATCGCTAGGTATCATTTTGATCCCACGTAGCAGCTGTATTGCATACAAGACAAATTTGCAACTTGGGACCGACTTTTTGTCTCCATAAAATTTCTCAAATTGACACTGACCCAATGAATGATTCTGGGGGTCAACGCATCTGCACTCATTGGTCAAAAGCCTAGCGAAAGTCGCCGCAATTAAATATCTATGAGGGATTATGCTGCTCTAGTGCTTATACGTTGGTCTGCTATCCTTTCTCATGAAACAGCTGGCCATAGTCGTTATTTGTCAGGAGAGAAAAAATGCCTTTCAAAACAAAAATCAACAAGCTGTTTCCGGACACAAAAAGAGATCATATTCAAAGCCTAGGTTCCAGAACTCGTCAACAACATATGGTCGCATTCCATTGCCTCTTTATTCTGAGACAGAATTCTAACGAGCTAGAGTGTAGTTAAATAAATGCTCACTTGCTCCTTTTGAAAGTTGAGCACACTCAAACAACTTGCGGTGCACGCATTTAGTTGTAACGCACATTAAAATATCGCGGTCTTGCGTCTTCAGAAAGACTTCGCTCAGAATCTCGAAATGCATAAATACATGCCATTAACCGCGTGAATGATTTGTTTTTCGCAGAGAACATCGCGGTCGGTCATTCATTATGGCATCGAGTGGTGGTGTTAATAAAATCTCTACCGGCAACACCAAGGGCAAAAAATCTCACCTTCCTGAAATGTTAGAACGAGACAAAGAAGGCCATCTGCCCCCTGGATTTATGGAAAGGGTAGCTGCACAGGCGTCTATTTCGCAAGGGCGTCACCCGCCAGACAACCCCGCAGACACATACGATGGAGGTCAGCTTGACGACAATGGCCCGATTGACCAAGCCAATTCTTCGCCACCATCAGACAGCTCAGTGGTGAAATCTATCGAGAGAGATGACACCCCGATGCATGATGCTGGAACCGGGTCACGCTCGAGTGGTCATGAACGCCCTCCTGCAGCCGGTCATTCACAGAATCAAGATGATTTGTCTCCCAGTACCCGAGGTACCACCGAGCCCGAAGAGCCAGAGCTTCTAGCCACCCTTGATCCCTCCAATGATGAGGAGGAAAGCGACGCGCTCGTAGATGGATGGGGAACCCTGCGAGGATCAACCTTTGTCATTCTCCAGTACGGGCCTCGCCATGGAGCCAGATACAAATTCAAATACCGACATGGATATACCAATGAATTCATGAATAGCATGTCTGAATCGTCTCTGCGGATCTCCCAGATCAAAGTTAGTCCAGGAAGCAAAAACTGGCGGTATTCCAAGAACAATGTTGTCGGGATCTACGGAATTGCCTCGGAAGAAAGAAAGAATCCAAATAAAAAATACAAGTCTGATCCCTGTACTTGGTTGAAGATAAAATGGAAGGACCTGAGGTCAGAAGATACCGACAAAACGCAAAATTTTTGTTCTTGGATTCCCAGATCCGATTTCATTCGCTTCTGCAATGGCAAGCGCGCTGCAGATGCAAAGATCAAAGAGGTCTGGGACAAACAAGAAGAACGCTATCAGCGCGTGCTCCAGAGTGACACTGGAAGAGGCTCTGAGGATCGGTCTCCCACCCCTTGCCCATTAGGGTCAGCAGCAAGGCAATCACTTGAGCGAGAGCATACACAACGTCTCAGTTCACCTGCAACTCAATTCGTATCTGCGGGCCAATATGAAATTCCCCCTTCCACTGCACAATTGCGTCCAAGACAGGGGTCGTCAACCAACCCAATCAACCTTGATGGAGATGAGGCAGCTCAGAATCCAGTTTCCTCCGGCGCTGCTTTGAACTCGAACACCAACGCCGTGCAGAACAAGTCCAACCTCGCAATTGGCCAAAGAGCCATACGTACAGAAGCGGAATTCATTGCAGAAAGGGAGAAAGACGAGGGATGGCATGATCTAGACGATATCCAGAGAGAAACTCGCCTTACGGTGGCGAAAGCCATGTATGACTTGTACCGGGACACAATCGCCCAGAATATGCAACCCCAAGGCTCGGTCAATACTCCAATTGGCGAACGACCAGGAGTAGCCGTCGCCGCCCATTGATGCCTTGATTTCCTCTAGATTGCTGACGTTGAATTGGGCGTTTTGATTTACCAGTTCGATAAATTGATTCATGGATCGATAAATAGACCGATAGATAGCTTTCTTTTATTTCAAATTGAAACAAATTTGTTTTCTTGGGTTTTTTTATGTGGTGTTCAGATCCAAAACAGATTCCACAAATGAAGTGATCTGGCGTATATCGTCTCCAGAAGGTCCCGAGTCATTTCATTCTTGTTGTTCTATTTGCAGTATATCCACACTGCCACTCGGTGACGAACTTTAAGTGTCCGTTATGTATCAAAATGTGAGAAAAGAATTAGAATCTTGGCCAACTGGATGTAATAAGTTTTGACGGGTGATATGAATCTGTTAATCGTATCCGAGAATTTGGCGGGATTGTACTAGACGAGTGCCCGACTCAATTCCCCAAGGTACAGCGATTTTCGAAAACAGTTTACCCCTCAGACACTCACACTTTGTTTGTCGGCCCGTACCCGAAACAAGCTAAACCCGTATTGGGACAAGTGGTAAGGTATCATCCACTTATGGATCAGTTTAATTTATGAGCTAGCCGAATTAGGCCTAGCCTTGTCTCGGGTACGGGCCGAGAAACGAAGAGTGCGTCTCTGAGGGGTAAACTGCTTTCGAAAATCGCTGTAAGGGGTTTTGAGACACAACGAGCAAATAGTACGATAACAAGCACTAAGGAACTAACAGCCCGTAAGAGCATTCAAGAGCTGTTTTCTGACGCAAAGCAAGCTACCAAGCGAAAACGTTGAAACGTCAACCGATTGTGATTGATATAGATCATCAAGAGTTCACCATAGCCTGCTAATTTGCGGGATATTACTTTTAAGTTGCAGTGAGATAGTAATATGATGTCGTGACCAAGTGCCATCGTGATGAGGGCCAAAGGGGCATGTAGAAATCAAGCTTTGGCGATATAAATTCCAGTGTAATTCCCACTGCCCTTTTCCATAAGTCGCCAAAACCACACACAAAGATGAAGGACAATCAGGTCAGCCCTAGTCGGCCTCCGACTGTGTGGGTTGATCAATCTGCTTTCTTCCAGGAGCACCCGAGTTCAAAACCAATTGCTTCTCCGGATATTCAACCCTCGCCGAGTCAGAAAATGATTGCCGCCGCAATCGCCCTCAGTTTGAAGAAATCACTCCCGGATCGCCCAAAGCGAAAGATCCCACAGCTGAACCAAAACCCATGGGATACTTTCGAACCTGTTGCTGCATCATCGCAAGATCGATCTCTGATCTTTGCCCGACACAAGACGATGAAAGAAGAGTTGGTGCATATCCAAGAACTCAAACAACAGTTCTCGCCCGCTACAGGTTTCCTAGAACTGATGGAACAAATCTCTCATCCAAGTTTCTTGAGGCTGATCGAATGTTACCATCAGGATGCATCCTGCACGTTGGTCTGGGAGCCAACGGAAGTGTCAGTCAGCCACATTTTAGCCTCCAGCTGCTCAATTACCAACGATGAACGCTTGGAATTGTCAAACCGGTGAGTCAAACACAAGAATCTTGCAGATGCAGCTGCAGCTAACTCAGAATAGGTATTGGAAGGAATACAATATCTGCGCGGGCTTGGAAGAGCACTCGCTACCCTGGGCCCGGAAACAGTCCTGCTTACACAGCCTGGTGATGTCAAGATCAGTGAGGCATCCACTTATATGATTAGTAACTACAAAGACTGACATTCACTAGTCGGGGCCGAAAATAGCTGCCAGATCCATGAATCAGAAATGAATCCTGCGACAATGAAACTATGCGCTCTAGCTGATGTTGTCACCAAATTGATGCTGAGGAACCCTACCTACGAATGGGAACCCGAGATCAAAGACTTGCCTTGCCAGCTGGAAAGTATATCGGTTGACGAACTCTTGCAGGTCAGTTCATTCTTCCATGTCACCAGATTCTCAGCTAATGTGACAGAATACCATCTTCACCCGAGCAACATGCGAGGGGGAGTTGAAGTTGTTGGTCAGTGTAGCCAACAAGACTGCGTATCACGGTATCAAATCTTACTATGCTCGTTGCTGAACGATGAACTCATTGGTGTTGGCTTGGCTCTTTGCTTGAAGGCCTATCCAGAAAGATCTCGCGATCCTGTCTTTCATCTTTGCTGCTCGGATACTATATGTGTGGTACATAAGCAAGTTAGGAGGGGAAGTTCAATAGACAAAGCACGTTTCGCAGGTGGTAGTTTACAAACGCGTTTTCAACGATAGACTTGTCTTAGTTTGAAAGTGCTCCCCGACTAATCCACAAACGCTCACTTAACATGTGGCCTGTTGTTAGAACCAATCGTTGCTTATGTGAGCGACCGATCTCAGTCCATTAGCGCTTCTTTGTCGTCTATTGTGGTTGCACTTTGTGTAGGATGAGAAGTGCGATGCCTCTGTTTTTCTTTTCTGCATGATCATACCGGTCGAGCAAGATACTATCATTGTTTCGCACAATGCCGTGCTGAAGCGAGAATGTTGAGACCAAATTTGTAATCCAGAACGATAGATGGAACATTGTAGACTAAGTCTATGATGGTAGCTACTTATGTGGACTTTGTACTTTGCAGGCCATTTTGATTAAGCTAAATAATCGGGTCTCTCCAGTCTATATAGCTCAAAGCTGCAAGGACCCCATCGTTCGGCCGCTGATATAAGTCTAGTTACCCTGGCAGCCACAGGAACAACACGTTGAGTGGGAATTTTCAGTCATGGAATCTGCCGCGCCGGTGTCGGCTGGATCGGTGACTTGAATTGGACCGAATGTAGGATTTCCGCTGCACACCGGTTCGCTCTCTTCCGGGAGGTTGTTTCTGTTGCCATTATATTCAACAATACTTCCAGGCGAAGGAAACCTGATGTCTACATTCTCTCTGGTCATGCAACCGTTGATATTGGCAACGAACATAGGAGGAAAAGCAGGCGATTGTTTGGGCGTGTCGTCGAACGCATTCGAGGGTGAGTCATTGGCCACAGTGATGGGTGCGCAGTTCATGTACATCTCACGATTGCCGATACGATTGAACCACGTCCAGGCCAAGGTGTATTTCCCGGGCTCAATTCCCTTGGGAATCGCGAAGTGGAGTTGGAGGGAATGGTCCGACGTGGCATCACCAGGAAGAATGCCGGGTACACTTGCGGGGCATCCTCCTTCGTAGGACTTGATGACTTTCCATTCCGATCTCTTTGTCGGCTCGCGATCACTGGTGAGGCTCACCTGGCAAGACCCTCCACCATGGGTGGCGCTGCCCAGAAGCTTGATGGTGTTATTCTGCCCGGCCCAATAAATCGATTCTTCTGTCGGGGCATGAAAGGCGCCTGGTTGTAGCTTGCAAGGAAAATCACTACCATCTGCAGCCAGTGGCGAGTTGTTAATTGTGTCTCTACTGTAGGGCTCGGGTGAAGTCATTTTCAGGTGCGCATAGACAGGCGAAAACGCAGCTGCCATTTCACGAATATCATAGCAGGAGGTGAGATGATCTTCGGCGGTAAAAGCTGATTTCGAAATCGGGTAGCTGAAGACTATGACAGGATCAGCTACGGCTTGATATATATTCACAACGTATGTGGGTGGAGAGGACGCCTGAACTGCCGTGGCTGCCGCGGATATTTGAGTCCACCAGAAAGTCACATTAAAACCTAGCTCTGCTAGTCTTTCGCCTCAAGATGTGCTGCCGCCAATCATCACAAAAACTTGGTTTTCAAACACTGGTGGTTGTATTCGTTGAAAGGAAGCGGTGAGCCAACTGTACTAAAAGAGTTCTCGCATTGCCTAAAGTGAAGTGGAAGCCCTCATTCAACTGAGTCGCGACAACTCACCAGTCGTTGTGAAATCCGAGAGCAGTTCAACAATACGTCCATGCCCTGGTTTTCGCTTACACTGCGAACGCTACTGTCCTACTACCCTTGAGTCCCCCATTCACATAAGTGCAGGGTTTGCTATGGACCACCATTTATCTATCAAGTCACTACTGAAAATTTCGAGTTTTGATCGACTGTTTGGCTGTTTTTTGATCTGATCTTTTCATTTCCTATCTGCTGGAATAACTAGCCACAGGCGACAATATGGTCGTTCCGCCAAAATCGGAAACCAACCTAGCAGACGCAGTCAATCAAAAGGCGCGCACAAGACGAAGGACACTTTTCAAAAAAGCGTCTGAGTATAGCTCAGAATGCGGTGCCGACATACATATTGTTCTTCGCATGAAGAAATCTGGGAAGATTTTCATTTTGACATCGAACACAAAAGATTGGCCTCTTTCCCAAAACCAACTAGCAAGTTTCTCTTTGTTATCCATTTCGTCACTATGCAGATACTAATTCGATTCCAAGATGTCTTATCATCCTACACCAATCCATGCATCTCCAGACAGCCCATAGACGAAGCCGTGGGACTACCGGGTTGTCAACAAGTGTCGCTCTTGGCAATTCTTCGTACAAGGCGCCTCCTGAAACTTCCAGTCGATCAGCTTGCAATTTTGATGGCTGCCAAAGCTATTTTCCCGTGATATCTCTATGGATAGGATCAACCTCATGTCGACCAAAGGGACATGCAATAAATTCGCTGTCTGACAAGGAAAACATTGTAGGAATCAATGGTACTCCACAGAATTTGCCAATCGCTCTTGAATAATCTTATAAGAACTGTCTTTCTCTAATCTAGAGCCTCTCTGGTACCCATATGCATCTTCTCGGACGGATGTAGTAGACACAAATTCAGGGCCGTAGCCTGGCGGCTCGACCAGGCTACATCCGGTGGGTTGAACCAGACAGGACAATTCCCAACATTGTTTGACGGCAAGCTTGGGTGTGAATAGTACAGTTCTTGTTTCGTATGCTACTTCTATCTCGCAGTCTTGTGTATTGCCTTTTTATTCAATCTCGTTCTCCGAAAATCTCACTGACCTATTGCTCCGACATATCGATACAGACCACAATCACATGGCGGGCGCAAGTCGCATTGCCTCTGAAAAGATTT